TGACCAGGAAGTCACTGGGCAGGTAGTTTCTGACCAGGAAGTCACTGGGCAGGAAGTTTCTGACTAGCAAGTCATTGGGCAGGAGGTTTCTGATCAGAAAGTCAATGGACAGGAAGTTTCTGACTAGGAAGTCACTGGGCAGGAAGTTTCTGACCAGGAAGTCACTGGGCAGGAAGTTTCTAAACAGGAATTTATTGGACAGGAAGTTTTTGACCAGGAAGTCACTGGGCAGGAGATTTCTGACCAGGAATTGACTTGGCAGGAAGTTTCTAACCAGGAATTCACTGTACAGGAAGTTTCAGTAATTCATTGTACAGGAAGTTTGTGACCAGGAAGTTTCTGACCAGGAAGTCAATGGACAGGAAGTTCATGACCAGGAAGTCACTGGGCAGGTATTTCTGACTAGGAGGTCACTGAGCAGGAAGTCACTAGGCAGGAAATCAAAGAGTAGGATGTGAATAAGTAGGAAGTTGCTAACAAGTCACTATGTGGAAGTTAATGAGCAGAAAGTCAATGAGCAGGAAGTCACCGACCAGAAAGTCACCGACCAGGAAGTTACCGACTGAGTAAGTCAAACTGTTTCGTGACTTATCTCTCGGTTACCTCAATTGGCTTCCATCCTTATTTGTCCTTCCTGTTTACTTGACAAAAACAGTCCGGGTATGACTTTAACCCCGTTCAATTTTTTGTCGGTTTTGTTTGTTGAATTGTGTGATCATTTTTTTGTCTGTGTCATCATTGTCATTTAGCCCCTCAGAACCTCCGGTTTAGTTTTTCATAAGAGGATCCTTGACTGTGAAGTGTTTTCTTAAAAACGATAAGTGGATGGAATTAAAACTGATTCTAGTCCTTCTAAACCAGTCCAGTTTACCAGGTTCATCCAGTCCATGACTAAGATGAAGAACACGACTGAGGCTCGGCTTAAGTCAGTACTCACACCTACTGTATGTGGTGCAGAGAAGACAGGTCCTTCACAGACTGTCTGTTGTTGTTGATGACAACGTTCTGAAATGCTTCTGTGCGTCGCCTGGTTTTGTACTACATAAAGACATGGTTCCTTTAATCACTGCTCTGAGGTCTGTACTTAGACAACACTGATCCAGATCAAGAAACCACAGAGAACATGCTCCTGACACAACACCATACAACCTCGGAGGCAGCGGTCTCATCCAGAGACACATCAGCATCTAGACCAGGAGGGCCTTATACCAGGCTCAGTCAGAAAGTCCTCAGACAGGGGTTAATGATTAAAACCAGTTCAGACTGATCTCTGTGTCTCCAGCATCTTAGACTTAGTTTGAAAGCAGACGTCACATTTTTGCTGTGATTTAGACGACATTTGATCGACGTTTTTCTTCAGACATCAACAGACCGACTGTGTGTGGCTCAGTTTCAGTCCCACTTGTCCTATATTTAAGTTGTTTTGCAACGCAATGATGAAACTGTTTTGGGTTAGACGTGCTGGGACGTGCATTTCACCTCGCCAACGCCCTGAGGTTACCTGTTCAAGAACGCAAGAACATGAGGTGCCCACCGAAGAAACACACACCACGTCCTAACTGGGCAGTAAAAGGTCAAAATCTTGACCATCAGTGCAAATTTCTACCACATAGAGATAGCTGGACACGTTATTGATCCCAAAAGGGAAATTAAGGAAAGATCCGCCGCCTGGGTGAAAACCAGGAATCCTAACCGCTAGCCCATATGGGACAGGTCTACCTGACAACTCAGTAGGCGTCTTATGGCCACCATGTGTTTGAGTGACATGTCCAGCGTCATCTACTCTAACATCATCGTCATCGTCTGTCGCTTTGTTTTATCGTGAGAGGCGTCCCACAGTTAGTCTTCGAACATTGTAGGAGAAGAGCGCGGTACTTTGGAGTTTATGAACTCGGTCCAAACGCAAAAAAAAATAGCAACAATAGCTATGATGTTTTTTTAAACGTGACCAGTACATGTGATGTGCAACCTTGTCATGTTGCTAAGAGTACACTCGTGTACTCGGGACTGAGGGACTGAGTGTCCACTGTCAACAAGCTGCAGCCATGGCACTGAATATATTTGCTCTCTCTATCTTTACTGCGTGTGTGATGGAGCTATTTGTGTGGTTTTGTCTGTGTGTGTGTGTGTGTACATTTCTGACACACTGGGTACATGCAGTGGACTTTAATCCAGCACTTGCATGGAAAACATGAGAAAAGTACTGCATGTTCTGAGATCAGACAGGACTACAGCTAATGATAAACACCGACCGCAGTTGGGGGCACGGAGGAGGAGTGATAAGAGACCAGCGTGTGTGTGTGTGTGTTTTAAAGTAATGCAGTTAGAAATTTTCCGTCTTGATTGGCGTAAAGTTCTTCTCGTTGTTCGGCCGTCACACTGCCTCAGGACCTCCGAGATACAGGAGCGGCCGTCACACTGCCTCAGGACCTCCGTTCACTCGTACGGTATCTCCTGTAACTGTCAACAAACTAGAACTGTTGGTATGGAAACGACCGATAATGTCTATAATTTGAGTTTTTAATTTCAAGAGCAGGGCTTGACAGATCAACAGGACTCGTCCAACCTTTGCCTGTTATCAAACGCAGGGTCCACGAATGTTATCAGCTCTTTTAAAACTTGGTTTACAACCGCAGTGTCCCAATGGGTGATCCTGGTGGATCAACATTGCGGTGCAGGTAGATAGTGATTGAAGGTTACGACATCTGCCCTTTTTCTCTTAAGTTTCTCTCAAACCAATCCATTGACAGACTGCTACAGACTGACGTTCACAGACACGGTCCTGAATATTCATCTTTTTTCTCCTGTTCCACCATCTGTTTGTTTTTAAATTAGCTCGTCCAGGACTGAGGTCCTCGGAAGCACCTGACTCATGAGACGCACAAACCCCGGCAGGTGTAGCTGGTAGAGCGTGACGAGCATCTGCGCAAGTGGGTCTGAAAATGTTGACAGTGTTTTTTTTTTTTGTTTTTTTTGTTTTAAGCTGTAGGGTTGTAGGAGGCTAAACCCTTAGATCGCATAAAGCTAGTCCAATGCATTCTGGCCTATTTAAGAACGTACCACAGTGCTAAGACATTAGTGTAACACGGCTGTTTCACAGTTTGGGTCTAGTAGGGATGTATCGATGCGTCGTGAGTCAGTTAAAAATCGTCAAAATATTCGAGACAATTACCAGCGGTTTAAGGCGTAAAGGAGTAGGCTGCGTTATCTCAAAAAGTCACTGGTCATACCATGAGAGTACACACTCCAGTACAATAGGTGGCAGTATGCACCTAAAAACGTTGATTGTGATGCGTTATTAAACCAAGACGTCAGTTCTCTACGTAGCCTAAGTGACAGTCAGGTGGTTGAACTGAACGCAGAAAGACAGACGTCAGGTCCCTACGTAGCCTAAGTAACAGTCAGGTGGTTGAACCGAACGCGGAAAGATCTTTAAAGGTCACCAACAGTGTTTTACAGTGTTACTGTTTTTTTTTTTAGATTTTTATGATGTTGACAGTTAGTAATGTAAATAAGACCAGTTTTCCTTTTAAGAGGAGGAAACGCATGATGTTTTTGTGAAAATTTTGTGAAAATTTGAATTTTTTTGCATCCTGTTGTTTATGTTATTTAAGAGAACACTTTCAGTTCATGAAGCACACAAGGCCATTTCTGGTATTACCAACATTGATAATGGTATTATTATCAATGTTGTTGTTGCATAGTTTCTACAGATAAGAGATCAGTGTATTTGGTCATAATTTGTTTTTAAAACAGATAAGAGATCAGTGTATTTGGTCATTATCTGTTTTTTTAAAAATCATGATGAAATCGTATCGTGAACAAAACATTGTGAATCATATCTTATCGTAACTTGAGTGTACCGTCCCTAGTGTTCAGTGTAGATTGGATTACGAAGATGTGAGAGGAGACAAACTGATACGGTCAGTAGCTAGTAGAGGATTAACACCAAAACTACCAAACATTGAAGCCTAGCTCCACCCCACCCCACCCCCGTGTCAAACTAAATCACTCCACCCTGGGCTCTGATAGGGTCGGGAGCCTTCTGTCCCCATGGGGCTCCTGCACAGTCATAAATAAAATTGTGTAACTCAGCCGCAGAGCCAGTCAACCTCAATCAGTCAAACAGCACACACCCCCACGGCTAAGACACAGCCATGCATCCAAGACACACGTTCAGACTTCAGCGAAGGCTGGAGATTACACAACGAATACTCTGCCAGCACCAGGGCAGGACATCTGTGAGGAGCAGGAGATCTGTGAGGAGAGTTCTGCTAAAAACCCAATCCTTCCTTTGGTTCTATTGTTGATGTTTTTAGCCTTGATCTGCAGATTAGCTGATTGGTCTCTTCATAGATGTAAAATTAGAACGTCAACTGTTATGATTGTTTCTTAAGCCAGGGTTTAGGAACCGACTGGAGCAGTTCCAGAAGAACTTGTTCCTTTTCGCCAAATTATAGATGTCATTATATATTTTACCGACAGAATTATGCTAACATATTCTTATATATATTTATATATATATCCTTATAAAATCAACAGCATATGATGTCAGTTCACCATTCAAATCGCAGTTATCGGTAACTTTATGGTGAGTACTTTTCAGTACTGTTCAACTGACGCAACGCAACGGTAGAACAAAACGCCGAGGTGAACTAGGTGTGACCAGTAATCTCCACTGACGCCACGACATCGCCAGGCTCCTATCAGAAGATCCGGCTGTGGATCACAGGTGTCGTCCGCTCATGTGGACCAGCGACTTTTTGACAGCTCTCCTTTGAATGGCGATACCTCGAGCAACATGTTCCGTTAGATAAGCTGTCATTTGACTCGCAGCGTGTTTTCACTGAAGCCACATCCATTGCATCGACCTCGTTTGTTTTCCGTGGACACTATGTCAAGTACATACACTCCACACTCAGGTGCGCTCTCCGGTTTCAGTCAGTGTCACAAACACAAACACAAACAAACACACAGATCCGTTTTACCGCACGCAGCACTGACCTTAAATGCAAACTTGCGGGTGATGTTGTCCGACGGCTCCACTGGACGAATCCGAAAACTGAGCAATGGCAAACTCCCTAACACCGTGTCCTCCTTCTCATCTGTTGAGGAAGGAAAAATAAAGAGTGAGAATCAGAGAAACGGGAGGAAGAAAGACCGAGAGCTGCCGAGAGAAGGATCGAGGTTCTGGAGATGAGGGAGACGTCAGAGCGGAGCTCCTCTCTGCTCCCACTCTGACAGCTTCCTAGAATAGATATCCATTATGGTCGGAGGGTCCGTGGATAAGATGCGCTGATGATGGCACACTTACACACACACACACCAGTGGTGATCCAGTGTTGGTAAATAAAGACAAACGTAGAGCTGTGATAAATAATAGAAGGAGACATGAACATTTCAGCAGCTTCCTACCTCTTGTTTCCTGCTCCAGCACCGACTTTACCCCTGACTGACTCACTCTGTGTGTGTGTGTGTTTATAGGTGGGTGTGTGTGAAAGAGAGATAGAGAAAGAGAGAGCAAACGAGGGCAATTGAGCAGAGAGGGAGCGAGAGCGAGAGAGAGAGAGAGAGAGAGAGAGCAGTCTGAGGGAGGGGGAAGGGCCTGTGCAATTCATACAATACGCTGGTTCCAGCTCATTATGTGTGTGTTCAGTGTGTGTGTGTGTGTGTGTGTGTTTGCGAGAGATAATGATCGGCCCATGTGACTCAGCGTCGCAGGAATCCCGGCCCCCAGCCAACTGTACCTGCAGCCTGTCTGAACCATTGAGACAGGCAGGTAAACAAAGTCATGCCTCTCCCTTCACTGGAGCCTCCACCAACCAACCACTGAACAGTTTAGTCATGTCTGCGTTCACAGGCTGACACAGAACCATATACTTTTTCAATAGAAATATATGTTATATAATATAGTGCAGGTGTAACTACGGGCAGGTGTTCTGTCTCTCCTGCCGCAGACTCGTCCCTGGGACGACTGCCCACACCAAGAGGGTCAAAGTGCAGTCATGAATAAACAACAAGGACACCTGGGATATAAAAATGTTACGTTTTTAGTGCTAACCTATCCGGGTTTTGAATCCGATGAGTCACTTTTAATGATGACGAACCATCGTGACTCAGCGCGCTACTTGATGAATGAACATTTGGAACAAACATCAATAGAGTCATTAAGTTATAAATGTAAAAAAAAAGTTTATAGTTGTAACGAAGAATCAAGGTCCAAGGTTTTTTTTTTTCAAATTTAAGTGGTCACGTAAAACACTTAATAATGACAAACGTTTACTAGTTGTTTGCTTGTATTTTCAGAATGATAACATCTAGCTTGTTAGCTGTGGTTAGCATGCTAGCAGGTACAAGAGACTGGAGAATGGCCATTTGTGCTACTTTAACAGCGCACCTGTACGTCGCGTTAGCATCTTTTTAGCTGTAGTCCAATAGGTAGCATTGTTTATGGGGTTATTTTCTTAAACAGTCAGTCATCATCGAGGCTAGTCCAAGCTATGGGAATGTTGCGATTTGAAATACTGCCCCCTACTGGGTGCGTTTTCAACTGCTGTTGTTTACAGGAACAAGTACTAACAAAATACTCGACTAGTTCGACCGTTGGAATTTTTTGTTCAGGATATTCAGCTTGAACTCAAATACCTGACCAAATGGGGCCTGAACTAAGACACAAAAATATTAATATCAATGCAAAGATACAGGGCAGACGTGTATGGAGAGAGGCTATGTTGTGGAAAAGTCACCGACAGCGGCGATAAAACAATCCCGACAACAAAAGTCCTGCACTTGTTACCCTCCCCTTGTGCCCATGGTTTGGCCCCTGCTCCTCACTGGCATAGCAATCCCAGTGGTTAATTGCACTGTCACACATTCCTCCCACCATCGGTCTCTGTCTCCAGGCCGTCTTTTCCACAAACACAGCTGGGTCAAGCGAAAAAAGAAGAACGTGTTTGGAATAAACAGGTCAGAACAATAGAGAGATGACGAGTCCAGCTCTGCTGCTGCGGGCCGACCCAAACTTTAGTCGTAGACAACTGTTCTGGACCAGTCAGCACTGACAAGTTTGCTGTAGTTAGAGGGGGGAAAAGTCACATGACCACATGAGCCCAGGTCTTGAACACCGAGGTCGTCAGCCTTTTCATTGGTGCTCCCTAACATGTGGAACCGCCCACTGTCAAGTCCGAGCTGCACAGACTCGATTCATCAGATTATTTTTTTTCTTACTATATAATATATTTTGAACCTGTATTTCTGTTTTACCTAAGTATATTTGTTTGTTGTTTTAGTTTGATTTGCATTCAAATACTTTAACATTGGGCAGAATTTGGCCTTCGGCAATCGGAGAGGTGCTGGTTTGAATCCTGGCCCAGTCTGTGGTGTGTTGTTCTGGTCCGCAGCTTAAATGGTTTCGAGAGAATTCGTTTCTTGTGTCTTTTTTTAAGGACAGTGACAAATGAAGTTGCTCGTTTTCCTTGTTTTTCAAGCCTTTAGCATGTGTGTAGCACTTTGCTCAGCTGAGGCCAAAGTTAAATTTGCAGTGTAAATAACCCCTGCACTGACATGAGTGGATGTTTGTTTAAAGGTTAAAAAAAAACCAGACAGGAAATGAAATCGATCAAGAGGATGAGGATGTTCTTTAATGGTCCCACCTCGTTCCCTGCTCTTCTCCTTCATCCATTGAGCGGCAACTTCAACTTCCTAACCATTTATGTGTTGTTTTAAAGTAAAGTAAAGTCACTCCGACATCAACGTGCAGGCTCCTGCCAACAGGTCTCACATGTTTGTGTGGTCGCAGTGAACTTGACCTTTGACCTTGATCAAGTCTGCAGTTTCCCATTTAACATTTAGTGAAACTATTTTATATAATGTACAAAAAAAAAAATCAGTGAAATTTGATTAGATGCTGCTTAATTTTTTGTGCAATAAAAATAGATAGATGGGATGGTGATCTGGTCACGGCTGTTTGAGTCATAGGTCGGAGGTCAGAGACAGAGAAAAAAGGAGACAAACCTTTGTAGTAGAAGAGAGATCTGTCAGTGAGGACGAACCAGCGTTTGTTCCACTGCTTCACTCCACTGCTGGCCTGACAGAACACAGAACGACAAAAACACGTCACGGTGTTGAGGACACTCTGAGGAGATCAAACACCTGTTCTGAGGGCTGTTCTGGATTCGTTTCTTGTGTCTTTTTTTAAGGACAGTGACAAATGAAGTTGCTCGTTTTCCTTGTTTTTCAAGCCTTTAGCATGTGTGTAGCACTTTGCTCAGCTGAGGCCAAAGTTAAATTTGCAGTGTAAATAACCCCTGCACTGACATGAGTGGATGTTTGTTTAAAGGTTAAAAAAAAACCAGACAGGAAATGAAATCGATCAAGAGGATGAGGATGTTCTTTAATGGTCCCACCTCGTTCCCTGCTCTTCTCCTTCATCCATTGAGCGGCAACTTCAACTTCCTAACCATTTATGTGTTGTTTTAAAGTAAAGTAAAGTCACTCCGACATCAACGTGCAGGCTCCTGCCAACAGGTCTCACATGTTTGTGTGGTCGCAGTGAACTTGACCTTTGACCTTGATCAAGTCTGCAGTTTCCCATTTAACATTTAGTGAAACTATTTTATATAATGTACAAAAAAAAAAATCAGTGAAATTTGATTAGATGCTGCTTAATTTTTTGTGCAATAAAAATAGATAGATGGGATGGTGATCTGGTCACGGCTGTTTGAGTCATAGGTCGGAGGTCAGAGACAGAGAAAAAAGGAGACAAACCTTTGTAGTAGAAGAGAGATCTGTCAGTGAGGACGAACCAGCGTTTGTTCCACTGCTTCACTCCACTGCTGGCCTGACAGAACACAGAACGACAAAAACACGTCACGGTGAGGAGATCAAACACCAGAGGGCTGTTCTTAGATCGTAGCTCAGACCAGTCTGGGACCCCATGGAGGGGTGTGTATTTTTTTTCATTGACCATATTTGAAAGGACACCATCCCTAAGACGGTTGTTTGGATATAGTGAATAATTAATAAGACACAGCAGCAGGAGGCCCACAGTCCTGCTGTGGCCGGGACGTGAACCACAATCCTCCGACTCATTTTACACAAGGCTTGACGCAGAACTCAATTAAATTAAGTTTATGTCTTTGATCTCTCTATCTGGCCTGGTTCCAAACGACCCACAACTGGTCTGCAACCCAGTGTTTAGGCACCACCGACACCTAAAGGTGTGAGGAAATAGCTCTGACTTATTGGAGGACTAATGTGGT